GCACTTGCTTCTCAATAGGTGTCTTCTTAGAATTAGCTGTCTGGTGTGTTTGCCCTCATCTTCTCCCGTTTCCTCAGCTTGGGTAAAATTCCACTTCTCCAGCCTGAGAAAGTTCGCTTTGAGGTGAAAATACCGTCTTCTTCAATTCGAGCTGCTGCTTCAGAAGTGCAACTTAGCGTGTTTCATGAAGATGTGTTGTCCTCGAATGTCTTCCATCTGCAGGCGACGCTTTACTTTTCCTTCTGCTTCAGGGAAGCTGTCCACGCTTAGAGAAAAGAATTGCTGCTTGACATGTTGCATCAGCGGTCTGGCTGCAGGCCGGCTTCTCGAGACGTTATAGTTGGTATTACTGACACACCTTTCTTTCTGGTCTGCTGGGACTTTGAAGCCGCCGAAATAATTAGACAAACGTTGACTTATTTTGATGCTAGACTGACCATTTTGTAGGACTGAGTCTTCTTATATAGTTACGATAATCAGGCGGTTTCATCGACGTGATCCATCAGAAGGTAGTTCTCCGTTCTGAAATCTTGACCTTCGAGCTGGTGTGAGGTGAGCCATTTGTTTACCATTTTGCTTCTTAGGTCCAAAAGCGACGGATTTTGAAGGCTGGAAAGTAATGCTCTCTATCCTGTAATGATCTCATCGTCATTCTTAGGTCCAAAAGCGGCAGATTGAAAACAGAATAGGCTGGTCAGTCGCTTAATTTACCTGAGTACTTTGGTATGCTGCTCAACAGTAGCGCGTTAGTAGAAGGTAGTAATAGTGACTGTTAGCGTTCTGACGTTGAACTAGTTATTTCTTGCTTTGTGTACACACCTAAGTTAGTTTTTGCCTGTCTAATATTTGATGCTAGCACTGTTAATGCGCCTGTTGCTTTAGACTGTGCGCGGGCTGCTGATTCTACCATTCTAATCTGATGGCCTGTTAATGTTTGTTCTAATTTGGGGTCTCTTGTAAAGGCGTTTGTATAGACTTCTATTTAGTGTTGGATGCTCTTGACATATCCTTCTATTGCGTCTTTCCTAAGCTGTGTTGCTTGCAAGTAGTCTCTATATGTTTCTATAGTTTTCTTTTTGACACTCGCATTTTCTCGTGGTGGCTCAACCTTAGTGGCTTCTTTCGTCTAAATGCTCAACTTTTCTAAGTCCTCTTTTAAAGCTATTTAGAGTGTACTTGCTGTGATAAATAGCTTTTTAAAATATAGACGAGACAGCGGAGAAATTTACAGAATAAAAGGAGGATGAAATGAGATACTTATTATATTTCTTATGATTCTTATAGATTTCTAGATGAAAGTAGTTTTTTCAGCACTTTTTAGTGAAAATTGTTTTTTTTTTTTTTTTTTTTTTTTTTTG